CTGCTAATGTGGGTGCTAAGAAATGAATCTGGATCCTCTCCGAGAGCCATCTCTCCAGACCAACCTACATTTTTTTTTTTTTTTTTACCATTGCCAGTGTAGAATTCAAGGAAAGTACTTAAAATTATCTGAAAAAAAGTATTAAAATATTCTATCTTTTCCAAGTAATTTTTTTCACTATATATTTCAACCCAAACAGAGTACTGTAACAGATGCATAAGCAGAAATAGGAACATATGTGCACACATGTAGGAATGCCTTTTATTAAGCTGGACATCAACAGGATTTGCTGATGTATTAATGCAATGCCAGTTATAAGGGGAGTATTACTTTTCAAAAACATGTGATTTATGCGAACATATAATGGGCTTACAATCTTTAAAATGGATTAATGGAGTTTTAAAGATGTTTCTTGATTTTTTTTTCTAGTAAGCTAAAGAACAATAAATATAATTCGCATTAACAAGGCTCTTTGTGTTTGTCAATAATTTCAAAATTTAAAGGAGCCTTGAGGCCAAAAGATTTGAGGACCTTTTGCTTGAAGGTTTTTTTCTACTTCTCAAATTTCACTGCAAAATTGTGTTGTTACAGATAAAAAGTACAAAAATTAGAGTCTTTTTGTCTTTTTATTTTAAGCCCTAGCCTAATAGTTTATCAAAACCCTGAATTTTGCCTAGATTTCTTCTGATGCCCAAAACACCAAAGGCATGATAAAGATTAAACCTGCGCTTTGAAAGCACTTTGAGGTCTGAAAGCGTTTCACATCTGCTGTTTTGTTTGTGTCTCTTAACCATCCCCAGAGACTAGTAAGGTACAAGTTGAGCTCTTAAATGTAACTGCCTTACAAGGCTCAGGGATCATTGTAGAAGAGGAGGCAGAAAGATTATAAGAGCCAGAGGGGGTAGATGACCCCAAGGAAGCAGAGTCTTCCAGACAGCTGCTCAGTTACTCATATGAACTCACAGCAATGGTGACAGCATGCACAAGTCCTGTGCAGACTCAAACCAGACAAAATCTCAGCATAGACATGGGGAAGTGAGTAAGAAATTCAAACCCAACCTAAGGAACTTTTGGCAATTGATGGCTGCTGGGAGAGGGAGAGACAGTGTCTTACAGGGTTGGTAGTAAGTGCCATGGTGGGCCCAGTGGATGGACCTACACTGAAGGACATTTGGGGACACACAATCAGACTCTATAGGCCATATTATACATATATATCTGATAGTATATTAAATTAGGCATGGAACAGTGAGAGGAGATTTGGATAGGGGAGGGGATCTATATACCATCAAACCATATTGTATAAAAATTGCAAAAATTAAAAAAAAATTTTTAAAGAAAGCAGGGACTGGAGAGATGATTCAGCAGCTAAGAGCATTGGCTGCTCCTACCAAGGACCTGGATTCAGTTCCCAGCACCCACATGGTGGCTAACAATCATCTGTAACTCCAGTTCCAGGGGATCTGACACCCTCTTGTGACCACCATGGGCACTGCATGCCATGAGTGCACTTACATACATTCAGGCAATGCACTCATACACATTAAAAATAAATAATCAATAATGTTTTTTTTAAAGAGAAAGTATAATGTCTATAATCCTTTGTGTAGAAACAGAAAGCTCTGGAGATGGGGGGATCAAAAGTAAGCTAATATGTGTTATCTCTTGTTTTATGTAAAATGAATGAAAAGCACTTTGCACATTGCCATAAATCAAGAATACAATATAACTTAATATTGTATTTTGAGCATCTCAAAAAAAATCTTTGACCATATTATCTTAAGATCATATGACATAAAAATACTTCATGATAATACAAAATGACTTCAGATGCCCAGTCTTTACATTATGGCTACTTCTTATGTTTTTTTGCATGTGTGTGTGTGTGTGTGTGTGTGTGTGCATGTGTGTGTGTGTGTGTGTGTGGTATATTGGGTGTCTTTGTCAAACCCAATTTACCTTATTTTTTGAGACAGGATCTCTCATTGAACCTGAAGTTCATGATTCTGCTAGACTGGTTGCCCAGCATGTTCCAGGAATCCACCTGTCTCCATCTTCCCAGGGCTGGGACTATAGATGCACACTACCACTCCCAGCTTTTTTAATGTGGTTGCTGGGGATATGAACTCAGGTTCCTATGCTTGCTTGGCAAGTACTATACTGACTGAGCCATCACCTCAGCTCTATTATGGCTACCTCTTGCTATTCATAAATTGCCAGTGGTGTTTTAGGAGGGCCGGCCTCTGGCTCTGATAAAACTCTCATTAGGAAATGATCTCATCAGGAAACTTAACTCCTGCCTTGCTAACCTCATGGGGCTGATGTGAGCTCAAATAAGATGCTCCTACTTCCTACATATGAAAGAGCTATAAACCCTGATTTGCAGCTCCAACAATGATATAGAATTATGACTTATGTGCCTTTTCCTTTTTAGATTTTATTTACTTTTATTTTTATGTGTATGAGTATTTTTGCCTACATGCATACAAGTGAATCCATGCATGCGATGCCCATGGAGGCCAGAAGAAGGCATTGGATCCCCTGGAGCTGAAGTTGTAGGTGGTTGTGAGCCAGCATGTCAGTGCTGGGAACTGAACCTATATGTCTTCTAGAAGAGAAACCAGTGTTCTTAACTACAGAGCCAACCCTCCAGCTCCTGTGCTTACTTTTTCAATGGCCAGGCACTGGTTTTATTTTTCCACAAGTGCTACACAAATGGAGAATCTATATGTGCTTAGGCTCATTCTTACCCAGTCTTCTATTATATCAATGTGTTAGCAAGTGGGAGGATGTGGGAGTTCCGTTTTAAAAGCACCAAGTTATATGTGATGAGAACATCCTAATAGTCTCTGTTTTATTTTAGTTGGAAACATAAACATAGTCTTAGGAGAAGGAATTTGAAAATATTACTAAGAAAACTAGTACTGCAAAGGGGAACACTGAATTATTTTACTTACTTCAGGGAGGGTTGTAGCAATGCTCCATCCTTGGTCCAAGTATACGTGGCCTCACCAGGGGTAACAAGGTTGCAAAGAATATTGATGACTTCTGTCCTTTTTGTAATGTATATTGTATTTCCAATCCTTGCATTTATTGTTTTGTTAAATGAAACTGAAGGGGGTTGGGTTTGCCTGATGAGAACAGGTCCTTTTGGCTTAAAAGTCAACTTGCCTGAGTTTTTCACCGTGGGGCTCTGGGGAACTCTTCCTGTCTCCCCTCGGAGCTGAGCCTCAGGAGGGACCTCTTCCTGAATGCCCCTCCATTGTGTGGGCATAGGCTGAGCCTTAGCCAACTCAGCCACCAGCTGATATATCACCTGGGATGCAAGGTCATCGCTGGCCTCTCCTGTCTCCATGAGCTGGCTCATGTTTCTTATGAGCTCATCAAACTGAGCTGTGTCCATACTGTATGCTCCCTGTTTCACGGCTGCTTCAAACTGTTTATTTTTAAACTCCCAAGAGTTAGTGCTTCCTGTAGACGTCCTACAGGGCCCCAGCAGAGCTCTCAGCAATGGCTGGTTATTAATTTCACCATCATGCAGATAAAGCTCATTTTTGTTATTCCACATCTGACGCATTTTATGCCACGTGGCTCCCAAACTATTGGCTTCGTTGTGGTCCACCCCAAGATGCCCCCGCATGTGCTCTCTCAGGGATGGGTGTGCAATGAGCCGGTTGTCAGTTCCAATGAGCTTGAGAACAACCGTTTCCTGGGCAGAGCCTGCAATGCACCGGTACACGCCAATATCCGGGGCTGCAAGTCTGTGGATTTTTAGTGAGCCCGACTTAGTGATTCCAAGTTGCTTCGAGTTCTGCAGACAACGGCCATCCTTTTCCCACTGGATCAGAGATTTCTGGAATCGCCGTACTGGGCATTTAATAATAACAGATGTGTTGGGAAGCAAATAAGCTCTACTGCCGATTGTCAGGTTAATCCTCTTCTCTTCTCTAGTCTGAATGTAGACTCTCTGGACACTGAGAATCTGGGGACCCAGCTCTCCAAGTTTTGTCTTTGTATCTTGTTTTGCTTCTGCAGGTAAAGGAGGAAGGGGGAGGGGGAGGAGGAGAAGGAGGAAGAGGAGGAAGAGAAGGAAGGGGGGAGGAGGAGGGGGGCGGAGGAG